TATATTCATTCGTTTTTTAAATGATATATTAGGTAGTCTGAAAGAGCTGGGCAATTTTCCATTTTTACGATATCTCGGGGTTGAGATGAGGCCAGCATTTTATAAATTCATCTTTTACTCGAAAGCCAACATGGAACTAAAACTGAAAATATATGTCTGTTGTTTTGATAAATTCTAATTGTAAGTGTAATTAGTTAGACTATTGATGAAGACATTGGAAAAACTGGACGACGCCTGCACCGGCATCGTCCATATTTACCAAAACTTAACAACAAAAATAAAACAATAACAACTTAATCACGGAAAACGGCAATACAACAAGAAAGGCAGTAGCATTCACAATGGATGACAATCCCAGATTACGATTTTAACAATTATGAATAAATAATAGTCTGACAAAATTAAAAAGTTATACTACCAAAACGTTTGAAGGGGTTAGGCGACGTTTTAAATTTGATAGAGTTATAGTGACACGAGAATCGTGCCGAAACTATCCAACCCTGCTTCTTTAGGTTCTTTACGATGACCACTTTTTATTATAATAGTTATTAAATCATTTAAGTTAGTCATATACTAATAAATTTGTTTAATAGATAGCTTAAATGACAACTGTTAAGTATAGCAGTTGGTATTTAAGTGAATATGTAGCAAATTAGCCGTCAGTCTTAAAAGTAACATGATTATTAATATTTTGTCACAAAGTATACCATAAAAAGAATCTTATTTAACTTCTGTCTAATGCTATAAATAGTTGCGCCCTCTGTAGGGGAGTCGTGGTACTAATTTTGACGTATGTGCTAGGTAATTAGTTCTGAAGGATTCTAAGAGATGGCGTGCCAGATGAAGGGCCTATGCGGGCCGTATGATGGTCCAGAGGCCGTATGTACGTTATTTAGTGATTTTATTTTAACAGATTTTCGTTGTGTGTAGTTGCATTTCCTTTCTTGTTTTGCCTTTGTCATTATTTAATTTCTATTTATAGACTTTTTCGTTTTAATGAAACAAACACACATCCTTTATTTCACGAACGCGTGGAGATATTGAGTTGAAATTTGAACCATATAGTTAGGTCTACATTCCTTGAAGCTGACAAAAAATTAGACTTATAAATTAACATTAAAATAAAGATGCTGTTATGTTTATGCCACAAAGTATTTCGAAGCTCAACGGAATCAAATCTCCAACCGTACCTCGTGTGTTCATAAGTTTTGAGACAAACATTTTACTAAAAAGATAGAATAAAATGTTACTGGCTGTTATTTTTTTTTTACCGATTTTAAATTTGGAATGTTAACTTTTATTATATTTGTAAATTGATGGAGGGAACGAAATAATTATGTGCAATTGTCATTTCGCTATTTAAGGCGGGAAAAAAACCGATGCAGAATTTCCGCGAGTGAAATCTATTACATAACTAGCTGACCCGACAGACTTCGTCCTGTCAAAAAGCCTACATTGCTTAGACAACAGTGAGTGCTTGTAATTTAATATGAACTTTATACCATAGCAATAAAGCTCAAATTGACTACGTTTTAGTTACAAATCATTTGTATGGGAAAAAGAAAAGGGCTATTTTTAGGGTTTTTCCAGCAATAATTCTTCTATATATAGCAATAATTTTTCTCGCCGTAAAAACCATCCTTGAACTTCAACGAACATTTTAAAAAAAGATTTGGCCAAATTGGTCGAGGCGTTGTTGAGTTATGCGCTTACCAACACATTTTGCGATTCATTTTTATATATATTAAAAAAAGATTAGGCCAAATTGGTCGAGGCGTTGTTGAGTTATGCGCTTACCAACACATTTTGCGATTCATTTTTATATATAAATAAAGATACAGCGGTACAAAGACACAAGTTCTCCAAAATCAAAATCATCCAAGAGCGACTTCGCCGAAATCCATGTCGCATTTAGAAGAAACTCGCTCTGCAGACTAACATTTCGCGCGTTTCAGTGAACATAATACTGAAATATGATCTTAAGGTAAAGGCCTATAGCCGTAGAAAAGTTCACTTTTTAAACGATCGTCTTCGTAAGTTACGACACGAACATTGTCTATTTGCTGCTGTGGAGACATGAAGCTAGAAAGATACTCTTCATCGACGAGAAAATTTTTACTGTCGAAGAAAAGTTCAACCGACAAAACAATAAAGTGTACGCTAAAAGTAGCAAGGATGTGCCAGCTTCTGCACAGAATGTCTCGCGCACTCATGATCAGGCTAGTGTGATGGTATGGTGGGGAGTTTCGTATGAAGGAGTCACTCCGCTCCATGCACTGCCAACAAGGTGACAAGGTGAAAGCCAAGAATTATCAGAGTGATATTTTAGAGCTCGTGGTGAAACCCCTATCTAATACGTTATTTCACAATAAGGATTGGGTTTTTGTAGCAAGACTCGGCGCCATCCCATAAGGCAAAAAGCGCCCAAGCTTGGTTGAGGGAGAATGTACCGGCCTTCATTGCGGGAGACGAGTGGTCTTCCTGCAGCCTCGACCTCAACCCGCTGGATTATTCTTTATGGATTGAATTAGAGGTAGGGCCTGCCGAAAGTGCCACCCAAACTTGGGAGTCACTGAAGCGAACCCTTGTTCGAGAAGCAAAGCGAATTCCGCTAGAAACATTCGTGCCGCCATTGATGACAGGCCAAATCGTCTAAGGGCCTATATTAAAAACAAGGGCGGTCATCTTTAATAAAATATATATTTAATTCTGAATACAAAATGCTTAAAAATCTACCCAGGACCTAACAGGACTGACGAATCTTTCCAGCACTTGTTACTTTTCGCTACTACAGAGATTTAATGATAAGTGAAAATTTTTGAAATATAAGTTAATTATTAAAAAGTTACGCAACTTTTATTTCATCTTAAAACTTATGAGCACACGAGGTAGATTTGCAAATCAATAGTATAACGGGGGGTCCCAGTCCCAATTTTTATGTGTGAGGGAGGGTATTTTTCTAGGAAGGCCGTGTTCTAGGGTGGTCCCCACAGGTGGTCCCAGCCCACTCTGCCCTCCCGCCATAGCTACGCCTATAGGTATATGTGTATTGATGTGCGAAAAAGTAAAGTGAATTTAAGATGGCATGAATTTTAAAAATAGCCTGATACAAATACGAGAAAAACGGAAATAATTCGATATAAGCCTGGAATATTTTAAATCAAGTTTGTGACCCAATTACAAGAGACTATATTTAAGAATCCATCTTATTTTAGCTACGGAAGGTATCAAAAAAAATATTAAGTCAAAAAACCTTCATTTCCTTCACGCAAAATTACTAACACGCCTTTTTCCACAAATTTTGGTTTTATTTATCATAGCGACAATGAAAATTACTGAAATCGTCATTTTGTCAATAGTCATTTTTATTAAACTTTATTTATTTATTTTTTTGTAGTACTTTAATATGACAAAACTTTTATTTAAAGTATTTCTGAGTGGAATTTAATGATATTTAGTAGAATATGTGTTTAACTCAAGTGTACGATTACTTACGTACAATAACTAATTTATATTTACTGCTGACGTGCAACCTACTTTGGCGTGCGGTCAATAATCTTAGTATATTATATATATCGACATTAAAGTTAGTTGTAATTTATACTTGGTCAACTCATGTATCTACTAACTAAACTTATCTACTAATTAAATAAACTTAACTATTTAAACAGTGCAGTGTTTAACTTGAACTATTATTCAACTTTATCCAAACTACTATCAACTACACTCTTCAAGACCCCAACATCAAGTCTGCTGCATATATTTCGTGTGATATATTTGCTTCATACATAAATAATTATGAGGCTATTATAAGGGTATGCAATATTCCCATGTTAAATTTTCATTGGATTCAAAACAAAATATACTTAACGCAATATAGTTATATGGATTAAAGTCGTATTTCATTGTTTTTAATATTGATATTTTACAAATATTGTTTAAATATTTATTGTCCATGTTTTTATAAAAATACGAGTTTCCAAATATAATATGTATTAGGAAAATTTATGTCATTCATGGAAGTAATATAAGTTACAGCGCAAAAATACGTAGAAGTCACTTTATACGTATTTTGCTTATCATTCCATTGAGAAATTAAAGCAATTTTATTATTTTTACTAATAATCCGAAAGTGATGATGATACTAATATGACCCTCATAATGAAAAAAAACAGCTGTTATGTTTTAATGTTTGATTTCCATACTGAAAGTTGGTATTTGTTCTTCAAAATATTCAATTACAAATCATTTTATATACGACAGAAAACACAAACTATATATTTTGTGCTATACTAGATGGCGTTATGTATATTGGACTGACTACATTGCAGTGTTTCGGGTGGGTTTTAATTTTTTTCTTATAATTTAACTTGTAATAACGTAATTTATTTGATAATTTGACTTGCATGATTTAGTAGGTACCTATTTAATTGGAATTGTAAAATACCGAGAGTAACTTTCTAAGTACATGGCTCATACATAATTTGATTTGATTTTAAATAAATGTAGTAAGATAAAACTTTATGCTTTGGTATACTGAGTAGATGGCGTTTATTTGTAACGAAACAACGTTATCGTTTTGTTCAAAGAATTTTGCGTCGATTTCAGTTTTAGATTGTTTTGTATATACTTTACATTTGTGTTTTCCCTTCCATCTAATTATAGCTTTAAGGTTTTCAGAGATAAAGTACTGACACCTTAGATCTGAAACTTAACGGACAATAGTCGGTTAATTACATATCTAGCTGTTGCTATACCTTAAATAAATATAGCTTTATTAGAAATGCTGTCCAAAGTAATTATACCATGGAGACGAAGTCGTGGGCAAAAGCTAGTGCCACCATAATTTTTGAGACTTCCTTCAGAACAATAACAATAAATAATTACCTTCTGATGGAAGGTAAGAAATGAAGTGCTGTCTAAAAGCTATTTGAATAAAATTTGTGAAAGAACTGATTTTAGGAGTATATAAATAAAATAAATTGTAATATAACTTTAATTTCCCCAATGAATAACAATAAAGATCATGTTCACCTATTTTGTAACAATAAATGTGAAGAAATTCCACTTTGCATTGTTGAAGTCATATTGATACAAAATCACAATAAGTTCACAAAAACGAATTGAAAGCTAAATACCTTTAAACATTTTTAATATGAATTATTTAAAAATCTAATATGCAGTGCCACATATTTCAGTAAATTATGCACCACTAAATACTTCATAAATGTTAGCCCCCAAAAGCTTCAATTTGTCATTTAATGCAAGCTGTTGGGTTAGCATGTCTGGAATGTTTATGTTGCCTTTGCAAGTGTTTTTAGTAACAAGTTCATTCATTACAGGTAAGAGCTTGACAAAGTGCAATTCTAGTTTGTTTACATCAACAAAGGGCTCTTGACCTGTTCCTAATTTTAATGCTCCATTTGTTACAACATGTTCATCTACCTCTAAATGATTTTTTGTCATCGGTGCTGATTTTGTAGCAAAAAGATTGGCTACTTCATCAATTATAGATGAAAAGCTTCGACTGACTGATGACATTGTTACTGATGTCACTTCATCACTCTCTAAGATATCCATAGTTTCTTTCACAATTGTGTCTAATTTTGCATCATTTATTTCTGTGTGTCCAATCAAATAATGTACCATTTTCTTTACAGGATCACCTTCAGTTGTGTCAGTGCACAATATAGTTTGTATTGACCAGAACATTTGTTCTATGTCTTGGAGGGTTACTTTTTTCTTTAAAAGAATAGGTTCTACAACTCTCTTTACTGCTTTTTCAATTTGTTTTGCCAATTCTTCTACACCTCGACTAACAAAGTGATGACATAAAGATAAATACTTAGCTTGTAGTTCACTGTTAATTAATGATTCCTCTTCATGAACAGAGTCCCGGTAAAGATAGCCACCAATTACATTCAGCTGGACTCTCAAAGTCACTTGGAGTATGCATAGAGCATATACCATGACACAAATCCGTGTAAAAACCATGATTTTTATCTGTTCCCATAGTTCTAGTTTATTTTCAGGGTTTTCTTGAAGTTTTTGGACAATTTCTTCGGTATTTAAAATTCCTAAAATACTTTCAGACACAATTTTCGATAGTGACAATATAGTTTGATTACATGTGCGTTCGGTGCTTTCAAAGTGCTGTTTTTTACGAGTCATTTCGAAAAATTTCTTTGCCTCCTTTTCCTGCCATTCCCTAAGCTTTTTTTGGGCATAACTAGATAGCAGATAGAGACCACCAAATACTGCACCAGTCACAATAAACTTCCTTCGGTGGCGGTGCAAAAAGTTTCTAATGCTTGAAAACATTGTAATTTTTCTTATATAAAACTCAAGGATAAGTTACTGGAATTCAAGGGGAGAATCTGATCTGTATTTAGTTGTGCTCATAAGACGTTTTGTTATGTAGGTAGTAGTATCTATAAACCTCTCAACACAATTCATAATGCACACTTCTGTCTTAGAATCCAAGCGTATGGATGGACGACCCATACAAATCTCCCAGCATGTGTCGGTTAAGCCATGGACAAGAACCTGGAACATAACATAATTATATTTATTTAATTTATAATAATAAAATACTCGCAGCAAAAAACTAGTTTACCACTTCCTCTATTAATTTCATACTTAATTAAAGAGTACTTAAGGTATAGAATTGTTTGTAGAAATTTGACAGTTTTGTATAACCTGATGTCTTGTTGTCCGTGAATAACTAACTAATAGAAGTCTTTAAATACAATAGACAATTTGATAAACAGTAATTGAAAAAAACTACATACACCTAATGCAAATGAACTATAAGTATGATAGTTCAAAGGTCATGGTATGAATAATTTCAACAAAATTTTGACTCTATGTTTGCTCACAGCCCTTACAGACTACATTTATTTTTATATACAATTGAGTTCTGTTAACAAATCCCGTTTGTTTTTCGTCTAACCTGGAAACGTTGCTTCTGCGTTTCTGCTAGTATAAAATCTTGTAGTTGCGGATCAACACTTTCTTTTTCGGTCATAATCAGTCCAATATCTTTTTAAAACGTTATTTGTAATTAATTCATACAGCATTGAACATTACCTTATACTAAAAGCTACGTTCACTTTTTATCTTTTCCTTCCTACAAAATAAGCAAGAACAGTATTCAGTAATTTAGTCACTGACTGAACGGAACTGATAAAACCATAGGATAAAACTAAAAAATTCAATCAATCATCAGCATCAGAAATTCAAAGAGTATCACAATGAGGAAGTATTTAAAAAATAAAAATTAGTTCTTGAAATCATACTAGATGTCACTCGCGAGTTTTGGATTTTGTTTATGATATTCATTCAAATTTTATTTCTGACGTAATAAATGTAAATTGAGTATTTTCGATTAATAAATATGACATCGTTTTGTGTTTCTTATAATGTCTCACTTTCAAACTAATTTTAATTTATTTTAATTGTAAGTTTAAGTTGTTTATTCTGTTACGTGTAAAGGAACGATGTTTGGTTGATACGTCAACATTAGTGATGAGCCAACTTATTGGTTGCTCGTAACTTTCGTCGAATTCAGGTTTGGAATGGAGAACAAAAATGATGATGAAGATGAAGTGTCATTATGCGTCCACAAAACGAATGATATTAATATAAATATCAAAATCAATTCAATCTAGACTGTTACATAGTACTTGTGAAAGTCGAAAACTTTACCAATGGTTCGCAAAACTAAGGCCGGAGATCTCTTACTGACAAGAAACGGCAAGAAACTCAGCAAGGGCTGCTTTTTTAATTTCAACTAAACAACTCAACTATACTATATTTGAGGGATCGTAACCACCTAACGCACACGATACCACCGCAAAGATTTTAAGATACCATAACAACTCTAGGTACTTAGTAAATAATATATTTCAATAAAACGGATTTCTAGAGTAGTTTGTGTAGGAATTCAAATTATTATTAACAATATTATTGTAAGAGCCAAAAAGAACAAACCCGCCGTACGAATTAACTTAACACATGGCTCGACGTCCGCCGGCGACATGCAAGATCAGTAGCAACATAATAACTGTACGTGTCTTTGACATTTGAAATTTAAAGTTATAACCTTGCTGTTCGTTTAGAGCAGACGTTTCTTGTTAATTGCTGAATGTTTATTAAGATGATTTAATTATGAATATAAGATTTAATAACTGATAATAGTTTTATAAAGTCTTAATTTCGAAAGCACAAGTTATTTGCACGTTACACTTTGCACAAACGTCATTTTAGCCAGCAGTTATGTTATTTTGTACGAATATATACAATAGTATATTTGATACATATCGGGTAAGTTTATAGATAATAAACGGATTTTTCTTAAATATTATTGTTTTTATGACTTTTGTTGCTGATTAATAAACCCTATTCATTCATTCACCATACATAAAAAAAATATTGAGAATTGATGTAGTTTTGTTGTTGTAAGTTCAACAAACAACTAATAGCAATAAAACTAACTTACCTAGTTGTTATTTTTTCAGAACTTTTGTTAAATATTAAAATGAAAATTCCTAGACCTACTATGACATAAGTACCTATTTTATTTATAAAACGTAATATTATTGTATACCGTAGTTAGATGCCACTTTTAATTATATCACAGCATTCAATTGATTTCCATAAATTTAAAAAGCCTCAATGCTCACTTCCATTATGTTAGTTTCCATTTTCCTCTATACAAATAAAAAAATAAATTTATTCAAAGATTACTTTGTATTAATCGAGTTGCGATTGCATAACTCGAACTAGTTAAATTTCAATTCGATATTAATCCAAGTTATCAGATCCATAACAACACTAACAAATCTATTCTCTTTGGTTTAACGTCATGAATTGACGTTTAGATCCACCAATTTGTGCTGCCACCTAGTAACATAATTTTTTGTAGTTTCTTTATTTTTTTTAAATACTTCCACATTCACTTCACCATTAAAATAAAATCTCTATGGTACTCAACAAGGAGCAAAACAAAACGTCGCTGTCAGTTCAAAAGTACGAATGTCAATTTTTTTTTAAATAGCTGTGTGCGTAGGTATTTTTTTCCGTAAAGGGAAGACGAAAAGACTGTATGCGTAGTTTGGAAAGTAGTCTTTCATGTGTCAAAATGTTATTGTGGTATGTGTTTGAACATATTGGACTTTATAACTTAAGGCAAAAGATTATATTTTATATTCATGTTTCAAATTCTCTTATGTTTATCGTACGTCTTTTTGATCCTTGTTGACATTGTTTAAGATATCTTGACGTAACGGATTCCGCAATGTGGTTTCATACTTTGAATGTGAGTTAATAGAGCACTATACAATATTTAAAAAATAAAAATTAGTTTTGGATCTTGTGTATGATATTTATTAAAATTTTGTTTCTGACAAAATAAAAGTAAATTTTGAGTATCGAAAATTAATAAATATGACAATCTTTCGTGTTTGTTATAATATCTAACTTTCAAAATAATTGAATCGTAAGTTTAAGTTCTTTATTATGTTACGTGTAAGCGAACGATGTTTGGTTTATATGTCAACATTAGTGATGAGCCAACTTATTGGTTACTCGTAACTTCAATTGACTCGATTTATCCCAATTCAGGTTTGGAGTCAAGAACAAAAAGCTGAGCGCTGAATTTAGTTTGTTTTTTTTTATGTGCAGTATTTCCATGTGTGGCACTATGCATCCACGCGTCGAATTATATTAATATAAATATCAAAATCCATTCGGTGTAGGCTGTTACATAGTACTTGTGAAAGTCAAAAACTTTGCCAACGGTTCACCAAACTAAGGCGTACTGAGAAGAACCGGCACGAAACTCAGCAGGGGCTGCTTTTTTCTCCCTGTATTTTTCCACACAGAGAAGTCTTATTGGAATGTGACTTAATTAGACTGTGAGGTCACTTTTCATTACAATTTCAGCAAACCTTCATACTCATTGACAAATCAATATACTATATTCACAATAAACGAAAAGGACCAAATTAAGTAATCCAGTACAGACTCACCCCCATTGGGAGCACCTATTGACGAATTAGCCAGCCAGCCAGCATTTAAACGAACGTTTCTAGATGATTGCTTAATTTTTATAACTATGATTTAATTATACCGATGATAGTTTTTTTTTTTAATTATTAATTTCACAATCGTCCATCTAGCCAGAAGTCATGTTATTTTGTACGAATACCTAGTATATTTGATATATACGAGGGTCAAACTGAAAGTTCTTAGAACTGGCCACTTATAAACAATATAATAAAAAAATAATTCTAAAATTTGAAAATATAACTCTTTGCCAATATTACTGAGTATATATTTCATTCATTTGTCATTTGTTTTACGATTTGGCGGCAAATTGAAAATTGTCTGTGTCACGTCATCATGAATTTAACACGAGAAAATTTTCGTGCAATGATTTTTTATGACTTTCGATGTCATTTAAGTCAACAAGAAAGTTATGATAGACTACGATTGGCCTTTCACGATGAAGCCCCATCTCGTGCGACTGTTTACAACTGGTTTAATGAGTTTAAACGTGGTCGCACTAATCTCACTGATGATTTACGTGAGGGACGGCCTTCTACGGCGACGACTGAAGATAACATCTGTGTTGTGCGGCGTATGATAGAGACTGACAAAAGAGTGACCTATCAACAGATTCGGACAAGCTTAGGCATCGGTATGAGTCAAGTGCACAAAATCCTCCACGAACATTTAGCGGTCAGGAAGCTTTGCGCCCGGTGGATACCTCATAATTTGACTGAGGCTCAAAAACTCCATCGTGTGGATTGGTGTCGTAAAATGATTGAAAGATTTAACGGAGGTGACTCAAATGCTGTGTTCGACATACTAACAGGTGACGAAAGCTGGATTTACTGTTATGATCCTAAAACCAAAAGACAATCTGCTCAGTGGGTGTTTCCTTTCGAGGAGTTGCCAACTAAAGTGAAGAGAGATCGAAGTGCGGGAAAAAAAATGGTGGCCTCGTTCTTTGGAAGGATAGGTCATTTTGCAACAATTGTGTTAGAGGATCAAAAAACAGTTTCTGCAGAATGGTACACTACCAATTGTTTGCCACTTGTCTTGGAAAAAGTTCGAGAGAAATGACCTCGCAGTAGGATCCTCCTTCACCACGACAACGCCTCGTCGCACACCGCCAAGCGAACGATCGACTATTTGGCGACATCAAACGTTGAATTACTGGGTCACCCGCCGTATAGCCCCGACCTCGCGCCTTGTGATTTTTATTTATTCCCAAAAATTAAAGAAAAACTTAAAGGAAAGCGGTTTATGAATGCTGAAGAAGCGGTGGCTGCGTATCGCGATGCCATTGAAGAGACCCCTAAGGACGAGTGGGCAAAGTGCTTTTCCCAGTGGTTCCATCGCATGCAGCGGTGTATTGACGTGAATGGACAATATTTTGAAAAGATATAATAAAACTAATAACTGGCTAATGTAATCAGTTTTTGATTTTCTAAGAACTTTCAGTTTGACCCTCGTATACATTGGTTAGTATATAAATAATAAACTGATTTTTTATTTTAATTATCGTTTTTATGACCTTTGTTGCTGATTAACAAACCCCTATTTATTCATTCACCACACATAAAATGAAGATATTATTGTGACTTGATGTAGTATTGTTGTTGTAAGTTCAACAAACAACTAATAGCAACAAAACTATCTTACCTAGTTGTTATTGTTTTCAGAACTTATGTTAAATATTATAATGAAAAATTCCTAGACCTCCTATGGCATAAGTAATTTATTTATAAAAACTATTTCACGGTAATAAAAAATAAATAAAAATGTATTTATTGACACAAATAGTTTAACAAAAGTATAGTGTACGATAATAGTCGCAGTAGTTTAAAAAGAAAACTGAAAATATAATTGTATACCATAGCTAAAAACCACTTTTAATTATTTTACCACAATAATTCGATCATTTATACAAATAAAATAGAAATTTATTCTAAGATTACTTCGTCGATTTGCATTTGCGTAACTCAAACTAATTGAATTTCACCTTGATATTAGTTCGAGTTATCAAATCCTTAACAACACTGACAATTCTATTCTCTTTAGTTTAACGTCATGAATTGACATATAGATCCTCCAATTTGTGCTGCCATCTAGAGACAAAATTTTTTGTAGTTTCTTAATTTTTTTTAATACTTTCTCAATGATGAAGTATTTAAAAAAACACCATTCGTTATAAAAAAAACAAACAAAAATCAACTTTTGCTAGAGTCGCCATCTAGTGGAGGTGCTTTTTTTAATACTTCCTCATACTATTGAGCTGCGTTCTCGCGGAAAGGTCAAAGGAAAGGTCTGAAATGTCAAAGGTTGAAGAATGTTTGGTAGCGTGACGCCACATGCTGAAGTACCGCGTGAAGCGAAATTATTCTAGCGAGCGCAAATTCAAAATCCTATATTTTTTTTATTTATGAATTCAATAGAAAAAAATATAGTTAACTTGTTAATTAAACCGATGCAGATATTTGGTTTGTGAGTGAGTGAAATAACAATATTCAAATATTCTTAGGATTCAAAACCTTAGCTTATTAGAGTTAAGGTTGTTTCCATACTTTTGTGTTTTTTTAGTAGAGTTCATTTTGTGAAGAAACCAAGCATATATAGCACGCCGGTTTATTTTGAACGTGCATGCTACTTGATTTTTTGCGATTGTGTTTACAATGGCTTGAGGTTACCGAATACAGATCAATGCTATATATATATATATATATATTGGGTGGAACAGAACGACCGACACTCCAGAAGTTCCTGGAAAGTACTATTTGTGTTTAATATGATGTAAATAAAATTATATGTCTAGGTCAAATAGTTTCGGAGATATTAAATTACAAAATTGTTGGAAAAAAATGAGTGTTTTCAACTCTGAGTCAGCTGTTTTTGGGACGTACTAAGGAACAAGTTTTTAATCGGTCATTGACATCTTAATTTCTAAAAACGAGTTTTCAAAAAATTGTAACTAAATGGATCAAATAACACGATAATTTATTAAAATAGTTAAACTAATACATCTTCCATTAACATAAAGTACATTTGTGATAATAATGTACTTTATGTTAAAACACTAAGTAAGGGTTTGGTTACTTATTTAAAATGTATTTAAAAAGTAAATTTAAAAACAATTGTAAGGGTGATCGGCGATTGGGTAGTGTACTAGATGCTAAGAAGTAAGTGAGCTTAATGTATAGAGTTTTTTAAAATAAGCTTAATCGTGGGCAACTCAAAAATAGGAGCACCACTAAGATAATATGCCATTAAACATTAAACTTATACTTTAAGTTTAGGTATAGGCTTTTTTCGTAGGTCAGCTCTTAATACTTGATGTGATATGGTTATAACATAAGTTGGCTGTACGAGTTATGTTCCCCTCACCTGTATTCAATGGAAAATATTACCAGAAATTGATAATAACATTGACTTTTGTGTTTGTACATCAAATGGAGTTTTTTAATATTTAAAGATTATTAAGTTTTTATTGAGACGAGATAAAAAATGGATGAAACTATTATTTGGAAATATTTTGGTGAAGGTGAAATAAGCGGCTTCACTTTGGTAATTCCCAGTGTGGCAGTAGGAAACGTCGGACAACTGGCCTGTGACTTGCTAATTTCATCTTTTAATATGGTCAAACTTGCATCGATTTATGATACTGCATTAATACCAATTCTAGGATACGATCCTTACGACTTAAATTCATCGAAACTATCTACCTGCTGTGAAGTTTATAAGTGTATTCAAAGAAATTTAATTGTACTGCAATTCAGAGCTCCTCTTGTATACAAATATGCTCAACGATTCTTGAATGAAGTTGTTAAAAAATTCAAGGAAAAGAATGTCAAAGAAGTCGTTATTTTGACCAGCAGTTTTGCTCATGTGAATAAACACATTTCATCATCTCCATTTAGATTTGTGGCGAATGAATTATATTCTTATAAAAATAAAATAATAAGTTTGAAATGGATAGAACATGAATTACATGATACTGGATTACAGATATATGGTGGTGGTTTTGCTTCATTATTATATCAAATTTGCACAGAACAATTGTTACCATGTTTAGTTCTGTATAAGTACTGCTCGGAGGGAAATAATATTCCAGATGCCTATGAGATGATTCATTATTTGGCCAATCTGTTACCATTGTTTTCTGAGAAAACAGATTTAAAGTCACAATTATTAGAACCAGTTTCATGGAAACTTTTGTTTGGTAGACCACCACCAAGTGATATTTATTAATGTTTATATAATGTACATTTGAATAAATTTTACTTTTTGTATAAGTTACTTTTTTATTGAACTTACTTTAAGTCTTATTATATATAACACATATAAAACATTTCATTTCTCCTGTATACATGTGATTTTTTTTAAATGTGTAAAAAAGTGCTGCTCAGCGCTACCTTGTAACTATTGTAAACAACTTAAAAGTTTCGTTTCACCATCAATTGCTGTAGCAGGCGATGTTAGCAATATGAGATAGATGTTGGTAGTTGGAGTTTCCACAGTCAACAGTAAAATAAAATGGGATTTGTAAAACATCTCAATAAAAGTTCAATTAAATTAATTTATTCCTGAAATACATACCCCACTACATCCTCAGTACTACTCGCATGCTATTATTATACAGTGTTATTAATAAACAAGGTTTAGCGTTGGAGTAAATTTACACTGAGACTGCACTTAGTATTAGTCAAAATTCATATTATTATACATAGACAGCAAAGGTTAGCCTATTACGAGGTTCTTTGGAAGTAATATTTACTCCTAGTAGGTTTGCTTATTTGAATTAATACTAAAATTGCTATTTTAGCATAAATATACTCTGATGTTAAAACTTGTTTATTAATAGCATATATTCCATAAAATGTCGCGAATGAAATATTTGTTTTTTAAATGGCCTTTTCGGCTATCCCATATAACATTTTGCATAATGCATCTGGCTAACGTGCTTATCGCCGCCCACGAACTGCTCATACTTTAAGTCCTTTGTCATTGTTTAGTCTTAAGTTGACATTTATGGCCAAATTGGCTAAATATCTCACATCTCTATCAAAAAAAGATGCCAAATTTGTATGACAACAACTTGCTTTTGAACCCTTAATAGATAAGCTCATCTCTGCGCCAGTCTTAGCTTATCCTGATTTTAGCCTACCATTTCTTCTAACCTGCGACGCTTCAAATTATGCAATTTCAGCTTTTTTGTCTCAAGGTCCTGTTGGACAAGATCGTCCAGTTGCATACGCGTCACGCACGTTTAATAAAGCAGAAAATAATAACAGCATAACAGAAAAAGAATGCCTTGCTATAATATTTGTCACAAAAAACTCTATAGCCATAGAATCAAAATATTAACGGATCACAAGCCACTCCAATGGGTTTTCAACTGCAAAGAACCTGGTTCTCGTCTTGTCCGCTGGCGTCTCAAGCTGGAGGAGTTTGAGTACGATATTCTAAATAAAAAAGAGAAGATCAATGCAAACGCTGACGCTCTTTCTCGGTTTCCTGTTAATCCTATTCAACTCCCTGCAGAAAACATAACTACCTGACTCTAGCCTCATCCAGTTCGCTACCTGGGACCCTATTCTAGAATTATTAACCCTAATCTAGCCGATAATTAACAATCTCCAGCTTTCAGTCCTATAACATAAGAAGATCTTGACGTCAACCTTCCATTTAGTCCTCTTAATCTAGATAGCAGTGACTTACCTTCTGACGGTGTCCTCAAAAACGGCGTTTCCAGCTTTATAGGCTAAATTATTCACCCGCTCCTTCTCATTCTAATGCTACTCTGTTCACGACTGACTATTCCTTGTTGCTGAAAAGTCTCTGACAAATCAAATATTAAATACTCAAATTATCAAATACAATGAAGACCTTATCAAAAGTAAATCCATTTTTCATAATAACATTACTTATCCTACTCAAACCGAGATCAAGAAAATCCTTTTCGACGATCACGATATTCTAATAGCCGGTCACTTGGGTTCTACCCATATGTACAACAAAATTAAACAGATGTTTTGTTGGAAAGGATTGCGAGGCGATATCGAATCCTATGTGAGTCGATGCAAATCCTGAGATATGATGCCAGAAAGATACTCTTCACCGACGAGATTTTTTTTACTGTCGAAGAAAAATTTAACAGACAAAACAATAAAGTGTACGCCAAAAGTAGCAAGGGTATCCCAGCTTCTGCACTGAATGTCTCGCGCTCTCATCATCCGGCTATTGTGATGGTATGGTGGGGAGTTTCGTATGAAGGTCTCACTCCGCCCTATTTCTGCCAACAAGGTGTCAAGGTGAAAGTCAAGAATTATCAGAGAGCAGACATTTAAGAGCAAGTGGTGAAACCCCTGTCTGATACGTTATTTCACAATAAGGATTGGGTTTTTTAGCAAGACTCGGTGCCATCCCATAAGGCAAAAAGCAACCAAGCTTAGTTGAGGGAGAATGTACCGATCTTCATATCGGCAGACGAGTGGCCCTCCTACAGCCCCGACCTCAACCCTATGGATTATTTTGTAAGGATTGAAGTAGAGCTCAGGGCATGTCGAAAGTCCCACCCAAAGTTCTCCAAGTTTGGGTGTTGTCTATTGTCAGCAATTGCAAACCATGCTGGAAAAACTAGCTGTTAAATAACCAAGGCTGGTCAATCGCTCTACGCCACTGCTACTTCAGAACAATGCTAGACCACACTCTGCACATCAGAGGGCTACCAAATTAGAAGAGTTTCAATTGGAAGGTCTAAGACATCCACCGTACTCCCTGGCGCTTGCTCCAACAGATTACCATTTTATTCGAAATTTAGAAAACTTCTAGCAAGGGAAAAATTCAACTCCGATGGGGTTGTGCAAATCGCCTTCAAAGATTTTATTGATTCCCGTCCGAATAGTTTTTTTAGTAAGGAGATCAATAAACTAGCTATGAGATGGCAAAAGTGCATAGATAACAATGGTTTATACTTTGATTAAATAAACATATAATATTAAAAAATATTCGACTTTTATAGGATAAAGGTAGTTCATGATAATAAAATTTAACCTTTTAGAATTCGAGGAAATAGGTATTAGGTTAATGTACATATTTCCATTCTTATTATAAATTAGTAGAATCGATATTTTAAAGTCATATGAATTTATAAGTTTTTAAGTTATAGAATGATAATGTTAAAGTTGTTATAATTGATTTCTTTTCTTTTAATTAGGAACTGTAGGGACACATATGCCTACATGTACATGTACAGTTTAGTTGTAAGATGTTTATAAACAATTTGTTAGCGTCTGACGTCTGTAGAACAAAGACTTTTTAACTAGTCGCTAATATATGGAGTTACAGAGTGAACGTGTTTTCTTATTTAACCTTCTGATAACATAAATAGGGTACGACACTTAATACCCTAAAGTGGTGACCGGTGTTATGAACATTACGTTTTTAGTTGTTTTGAACATTTTATTTAATTAACATTTATATCACTTTTATTTTTTTATTAAAAAGTGCAGTATAAACAATGAATCCACAAAATGAAAGTTCTCAAGCGCGTGTTTCGGAACACAACCCCGAAGTTAAGCCAGATACTTCATCATCTTTGGACTCCATCACCATTTCATCGAGAGTTCCTGATTTTTGGTCAGACCAACCGCGACTCTGGTTTGTCCAATTTGAGGCTGTCATCCAGTCACAGAAACTATCGGACGCCGCTAAACAGAATTTAGTGGTTACTAAATTAAGCAAGGCTGCGATTACACAGGTGAGCGATTTATTATTATCACCACCAAGTGAGCACAAGTACCAGACCCTCAAAGATAGACTACTGCATGTATTTGAGGAGTCGGAGACGAGGCAGTTCCAGAAGCTTCTTGGTGAAATGGAGCTTGGCAGTCAAAAGCCTTCGCAGCTCTTACGGCGCATGAAAGATCTAGCCCGTGGGAAAATACCAGACGCGACATTACAAATCATGTGGAATAGCCACTTGCCACCACCAGTGCAAGCTGTGTTAGCCGTTACACAGGAGACAGATATAACAAATCTGGCTGTAGTGGCTGATAAGGTCATGGAGGCCACTGGGCATTCCAATATAGCTGAAGTATCAACCAGCAGCAACTCTTCAGAGCGTGAGTCAAAAGTTACATGTTCGGAGCAATCCGACCTGGCGACGTTGGTAGCACGTCTCAGCATAGAAGTGGCGGAGTTAAGGCGCTCTCGGCAAGCGGATCGTGGTAGACCGTTCAGGGGTAGGAACTACAGTGCTGGAAACAGATTCAGTCGGGCACCGTCACAAGGTCGAGAGAGAGAGAATTCCAGTAACCGACGAAATCCTAATTGGCTTTGTTTCTACCATTATCGGTACGGAGATAAGGCCGTAAAGTGCATTGAGCCCTGTAATTGGCGGAAGCCCAAGCCACAAGAGCCAGCGGAAAACTAAGTGCGATACGGCCGGAGGCGGAGGTTGGTATCGGGTTATCGAATAACCGCCTATGTGTTAAAGACAAAAAAAGTGGACTGAAATTCTTAATTGACACAGGTGCGAACGTTTCAGTTATTCCGGCATCGAAAAAGTGCGTTTCCGATTACAGTGCGAGTGATAAATACAAACTATATGCAGCTAACGGAACCGAGATAAAAACTTATGGTATGCGTACTTTAATTTTAGATTTAAATTTAAGGAGAGCATTTAAATGGAATTTTATCGTAGCGAATGTTAAACAGCCGATAATAGGAGCGGATTTTTTAAGCCATTATCAGCTGTTAGTCGACATGAGCGCACGCAAGTTAGTAGATCAAATTACACATTTAAATGTTCTCGCCTCTGTTGTAAGTCATAACGAATGTGAATTATCTATTAAAACTGTTTTAGGTAATAGTAATTGGCATGATTTATTGCTTTGTTACCCGGACATAACGAAAATAGTATCTTACAAAGAGACACCTAAACACTCTGTGTGTCATTATATAGAAACTACGGGCCCACCGGTATACGCTAAAGCCAGACCTCTTCCGCCTGACCGTTATAGGAAAGTTAAGGAGGAGTTTAGCCACATGTTGGAATTAGGCATTTGTAGGCCATCTAAAAGCGAATGGGCCAGTCCATTACATGTGGTACCAAAGAAGAATGGTGATATTCGGCCTTGCGGTGATTACAGAAAATTAAATGCCATAACAAAACCGGATCGCTATCCGATTCCGAGACTGCATGATTTTAAATATTTATTAGCGGGAAATAAAACTATTTTTACGCGGTTAGATTTAATTCGTTCTTATCATTTCGTACCGGTTGCCCCGGAGGATATTGAAAAAACTGCCATTATAACGCCCTTTGGACTGTTTGAATTTCCGCGCATGATCTTCGGATTACGT